AAGAAAGAAAGAGAGAGAGAGAGAGAGAGAGAGAGAGAAGGAAGAAAGGAAGGAAAGAAAGAGAGAGAGATAGAAGGAACAAAGGAAGGAAGGAAGGAAAGAAGAAAAGAAGGAAGGAAGGAAGGGAGAGAGAGGGAGAAGGAAGGAAGGAAGGAAGGAAGGAAGGTAGCAAGGAAAGAAGAAAGGAAGGAAAACAAAAGGAAAGTATCAACCTTCTCAAGGGGTGACATTGATCAAGATGCACTGTATTAATAAACTGCTTTGATGAATGGCAACTCTTTTGTACAAGTACTTAAGGACAATAAAAATATTTTTAAAAGACTAAAGCTTAAAAATAAATGTGGCTTACCATATGTAAATTATCAATAAAATAGAAAAAGACAAAGCCATTTCAAATACAAGGTATTTTGCAAATGCTATATAATAAAACTATTATAGAAGACAAAGAAAACAAAGTACTCTAGAGAAAAAATAAGTTAAACCTAATAGCAGATGATCCACAGATGAAATTTTAAGTTAATCATATGTTCAAATATAGTAGAAATTACAGAAAACAACAAAGTGATATATTTCTATTCATCAGACAAACAAAACTAAAAGGCAGAAATAAACGATTGCTATTTAGGATATACCCTAATTTTATCTGCTATTGGTTAAAATAGAATCCATTTTTAATTTATATGGGAAAAAATTTACTAATTTTGTGCACACATTTATTGATCAAGCAGATACTTTGCTAGAAATTAGTATTACAACAATATGAATATTGATTCCGAAGATATGTGTATATTATGTGTGTAAATATATATATAAATTGTATGTCTATAAATGATATATATGTATATGATGACCATCCCTGCAATGTTTAAACTTGTAGGAAAGCAAAACAAAACAGAACAGAATGAAGCTCTAGAAACAAGGAATTATTTGACCACACAATAGTGCACCCAGAGTATAAAATATACAGTCATCAAAATTAATTTCATAAATAGTATTAAATATAATCTGTATAGTATTCTTTTATGGAAGGTAAAAACCATATATTTGTGTCTACATAAAATCACACATGCACACTCATACATGCAATGGTCATATAAAGGAGGAGCATGAATACATGAGTTTTTGGAACAGATTTGGGGAAAACTTATGGGAAGAATGAGGAACAAATAAAATTCAAGAGTGGTAAATACAAAAAGCCAGTCAAGTATTTGTGCAAATGAAATATTTCTGTGTATGTGAATAAAGAGGAAGTGGCGCTGTGGCTTAAGTGGCAGAGCACTTGCCTTGAGCGCAGGGACAGTGCCCAAGCCCGGAGTTCAAGCCCCACAACCGACAAAAAAAAAAAAAATCTCGTGAATAAAGAAGTTAGAGCTGGATATAGTATCTCACATTTGTAATTTCAGCTCTCGCAGAGGCAGAGATTAAGAGAATCAAAGTTCAAGGCAAGCTGAGGAAAAGATAATGAGAGATTCTTTCTTAAAAAAAATCGAGATTCAAAGCCAGGCTGGGCAGGAAAGTTTGTGAGACTCTTATCTCCAGTTAACCAGCAGAATACTGGAAGTGGCACTGTGGCTCAAGTGGTAGAACACTCACCTTCAGCTTAACAGCTGAGGGACAGTGCCAAGGTCCAGAGTTCAAGCCCCACGACCAATGAAAATTGGGATTGTTGATATTTATGTCACATTTTGTCACGTTGATGTACAGAGGGGTTATAGTTTCATAAGTAAGGCAGTGACTACATTTCTTGTCTAACTTGTTACTCCTTATTTTTCTCCCTCTTTCCCTTTCCCTCCCCATCCCTCCCACAAGTTGTGCACATCATTTCTAACATGTTTTCTTGTGAATGTCACTGTTGCACAGGTTTCACCTTTGTCCTTTGTCTCACCATTTTGTTTTTCCCTTTCCCTTCTCTAGTTCAGATAAACGTATATACAATACCCAGGGTACCAAAATTGAATACAGTGACAACAGGAGGAAAAACACAAAAGAAAAAAGGAACCACATAGGATATTGAGGACAACAACAACAAAAGACAGATGCTGGAGGGGTTGTGGCCAAAGGGAACATTACTACACTGTTGGTGGGAGTGTAAACTTGTTCAACCATTCTCGAAACAGTATGGAGGTTCCTCAAAAGACTCCACATAGAGCTCCCCTATCACCCAGCAATCCCACTTTTGGGCATTTACCCAAATGATCACAAACAAGACCATACTAAAGCTACCAGCACTATTTTGTTCATCACAGCATTATTCGCCATAGCTAAGATATGGAACCAACCCTGATGCCACTTAGTAGATGAATGGATGATCAAGAAAATGTGATATATATATATATATATATATATATATATATATATATATATATATATATATATATATATATATTCTATGCTTGCATCAGAAGAATGACACCACCTAATTTGTAAGGAAATGGAAGGGCTTAGAAACAATCTTATTAAGTGAAGGAAGCCAGAACCAAAGAAACATAGGTCCCATGGTTTCCCTTATTTGTAATAATTAGTATATATGTAGGATAATCTTAGCAGATGGGCAGAATGGCTCAATAGGTGAGTACATATGACCATATAAGATGATGCTAAGCAAAATGAACTCCAAGGCATGGACACGAGGGGTTGTTATTTTTTTAGGGGGGGGGTTAATTTTTTGAACTCAGTATATTTTAGATATAAGGCCCTTCTAAAAATATTTTCCTATCCTGTGGGCTTTCTATTTATCTTGTTAGCTATGTCCTTTGCCATTGGTTGACTAGGAGACCTGGTGTTTCCCCTACTCTTCCTTTAATATCTTCAGGTTCAACATCACAGGCCATAAAATAAATGTAAATCAAACCAATATTGAGATTCCACCTCACCTTAGTTGGAATAGCTATTATAAAGAAATTTAAAATAACAAATGCTGGTGGGATTGAGGCCAAAAAGAACTCTGAATGTAAACTTGTTCAGCCACTCTGGAAAGCAGTATGCAAGTTCCTTAAGAGACTAAACATAGAGCTTCCATATTACCCAGCACTACCACTCCTGGGCATTTATCCAATAGAACACACAAAGCAATTAGAACTACCATGTTTATTGCATGATTATTTACCATAGCCAAGATAAGGAGTCAACCCAGTCCCAGTGGAGGAATGGGTCAAGAAAATTTGATATTTATATTCAATGGAATTCTGTGCTTCCATCAGAAAAAATGATATTGTATCATTCATAAGGAAATGCAAAGACTTGGAAAAATTATATTAAGTGACTTAAGCCAGTTCCCAAGAAACACAGGTTTCATGGCTTCCCTCATTTACTGTAAGTTGAATGTGCCTACTGGATGGTTAAAAGTAAATATACTTGAACATGATAAATTATAAAGTTTTTTAGACATTCATACAATGAAGCCAAGGGAGGATGTACATTCATAGGAGTGTAACATAAAGGCTCAATATCTATCATATAAAAGAATATTTTATGAAATGAACTCCAAGAAATAGAAATGAGATTTTTGTGGTTGCTGCTGCTGTTTCTGTTGTCTTATACTTTTGTCGTGTTTGTTAATTTATTTGTATTTGTGTAAGGGAAATGGAGGGACAAAGTGTGAACAAATACAGCAGTGGTACTTACTAGGCACTATGTTGAAAATCAACAATACAACGTGTAGGTGAGGATGGGGGGAAAACTGTGAGAAAGTTGAGAGAAGGGTGACATAGTTCAAAAAACAATGCACTTATTACCTGACATGTAAGAAAACATTACCTCTACAATAACAAAATATATTAAAAATTACATGTTAATTAATAAAACAGAAATTCACTTTAACATAAAAAATAAATAAAATTGGACAATGGTGGCAAACCTCTATAGTCTCAGCTACTTGAGAGGCCATAAACAGGAAGGCCGTGGTCAGAGTCTGGGTTCAGGCAAAATATGCATGAAGGTATCTGATACATAAGTAAAGCAAAAAGGACTGGGAAACACCTGCCTAGCGAACATGAAGGCATCAATTCAAATCCCAGAACCACTAATATAAATAAGCATAAGTAACTAAAATATTTTCATATTTCTAAATCTTTATTTCAACTGATACTTTAAATGTATGTATTTATAAATGAAATGCTATGTTTTAATTCATATATGTCATATAATGTTTAAGCAGTTAAATATATTTAACTCCTAAAACACCATTTCTTTTTGGTAAATTCTTTCAAAAGGTTCAAGAGTGAAAGGTTACATGGTAAGAAAGAAAGGAAGCTAGCAAGCTGAAAAAGCCAAAATAGCTTTATAACAGCCCTCTCTTCAAGCAAATAATCCAATTCTTTCAGACTTAATCTTCTCTTTGGTGATGGACATTAATCCCTTTTGAAGGTTATTACCTTAGTAACCTAGTCTTCTCTCACTGGTTCGACATTTGAAAGTATCTAAACATCAGGACATGAATCTTTAGGGGAAAAACCACACCGAACCATAGTTTGGAAATTTGCTTTGAAGAAGTATCTCTTCTCAATTTTGATTCTTAATTCCAGTTCTGTGTAAAGAGAAGGGAACAGGCTATTAGTTCCATTGTCATTAGAAATGTAATAGTTTTCAAATGCCCTAGATTGTCGTCAAATATAGTTACCCTTAATATAATAGCCCTCTCATAAGCTTTGTTTCAAATCTATCTGATGGAACATTGTCTTAATTTTAAGAATCTTTTATGAATTGTCACATTCTATATTTTATTTGGAGATACACTGGCCACTTTCATTTGTAGTAATCGGTTCATATGTTAAAAGGAATTTCAGTTCCTATCATGATAAATACATTAGGGGGTACTTGTTTGGTATGGAGAGTAAATTTACAAATGCATTTATTTCTATTTTGGGATTCTTTAAAAGTGCTGTAAAGCTACTAGGGCTCTACTAATAGCTAAATGTAATTGTCTTCAAATTGTGTTTCTTTTCACTTTTAGTCATTTTGTCTCTTTCCTTCAAATGCTCCCCTCCTTTTTTTAAAAACAGGTTGATTTAGTGAATATTGGAAGCACTGACATAGTTGATGGAAATCATAAACTGACTCTTGGATTGATTTGGAATATCATCCTCCACTGGCAGGTAAAATACTGATGAATGTTTCCTTTTAAATTAACATGTTGATTATCTTTTTCCCAGTTTATACCCTTGGCTTGCAATATAAACACATGCACCTTACGCAATAAAAAGCCATCTCCATAGTTCTACCTTTTAACTTGGTAAAATCTATGCCATTTGAGATGTTAAGAGTTTACTTTCAAGGGTATTTTCTTTTTTAAATGCTACATTTCTTAGTTTCATTCAAATACTGCATTTATAAGGCATATTATAGTAGGATTTTGCCCTTGCCTTGTGCACAAATTACAAGGTTCTGCTTCAAATCTTTTGAAGAATTCTAAACTGTCAACCCTTGTGCTACACAAAAATATACAAAACTACACTAAGCAGACTATTCATCAAAAACAAAATGCTTTGCTTTCTGTTTCAAATACAAGAAACTTCAAACTAGACACAACTAAGATTTCCTGTTGCATTTCTCTGAGATGTGACTACTAAATTCTTAAGATATTTTACATTTTCATTATAAAATCACTGACAAGTTTTGAACCATTCAGTCCTTTTTATTTACTAATCATTCTAATACTCGTTTTCTAATACTCGTTATCTAAGGATAAGTCAAAAAGACAAAACTCTAGTCATAAGTATTCAGAAGTATTGTAGGAGAAAAAACAAAGGAGGGGTAACAATGCTCTACAATGAGTAAGGTAATGTACTCATTACCTTACTCATGTAACTGTAACCCCTCTGTATAGCATCTTTACAATAAAATTAAATTTAAAAAGCATTTTCTAAAAATATGTGTGTTCTATAACTTTCCTATAAGTGACTGAAGATTTTTGTAAAGAGAAAGGCATCTTCCCGGTGGCTGTGACTCATGCCTATAATCCTAGATATTCAGGAGGCTGAGATCTGAGGATCAAGCAAGGGTCAAACACAGACTACTTAAGAAGTTCAGGAGACTCTTATTTCCAACCAATCTCCTAAAAAAAGTCAGAAGTATGGTAAAGCACTAGTGTTGAGAAAAAAAAATCTCAGTGACAGCACTCAGACCCTGAGTTCAATCCCTAGGATTGGCGTGCGCGTGCACACACATACACACACACGCACACACACACACACACACACACACACACACACATGGAAAGGCATGTTTTCTTTCAGTTATTCCTAAAAGAATGAGCTTTTTAAAAATCAATCCTCTGTATTTTCAATGTAAATTAATGCCAATGAAAGATGAGTAAGATATCACTATAATTATGAGCATACCTGCTATATACTCAAATGAGCATCACAGTCTGATTTTGAAATTGCAAAGTGTTTCTTCAATCACAGAGAGTAGAGTTTCTGAATGACTGCATTTATTTGACCTCTGTAAAACCGATGAGACTGATCTAAGAGAATATCTGCCAAACATTCAGTATAGAGAGCCATTGTTATATGAAAAATGTCCTATGAATGACACTGATTGCTTAGCACTTTTCTGTCATATGTTAAGAATCTAGAGGATACTTGAGATATGTTTGTTTTTTTTCACTAGTAGGGATTACTGTTTTTTTAAATAAAATTTCTCTATTGAGATCTAATTTTATACCATAAATTTACCATTCCTCAGTGTAGAATTCAATGTGTACCAAACTGGTTTAGTTCTTTCACTCACTAACTTCTCAAACATTCTTGAGCATTCTTGAGCAGGTTTTATTTCCTAATGAAGCTAAATTTTGGGCTATTTAAAGTTGTATTATTCATCCGAACAATCTCATTTTGGCACATTCCACCACATTAAGAAGATTTTTTTCTTGTATACTACATTCACTTTGTTATACTACTCTGTCTCTAGACAACTATTAATCTATTCTCTCTCTTTATATATATATGTGGCTTTTTGCATATTCAATTCCAGTGGTAACACAATATGTGTATTTTTTGTATAATTGTTTCACTTAGCATTGTGTTGGAAGTCCCTCTGAATTGTAATAGTTATCACAAGTTCATTTAGTTGAGTTGACTTTTAACTTGAATTACAAATTGGTCTTAGTCTACATCAAATAATGTGTAGGTCAGAGGTGGACATACTCAAAAAAGGGTCCATAATGATTTCCCAATCATGTCCATGCCTTTTAATTTCAGTTACTCAGTTAAACTACACTTCACAGCAATATGGGAAGAGTAGTAGAAAACCGTAACTACTGAATATAAAGAATAGCCCATGTGAGCCTCAGGTGAGGCTATGCTGGCACTTTCCAGACTTTTCCATACAGTATTGGTATAAAGAAAATCAACAAAATGACATACCCCATAATCATTGAACTACTTTCCTTCTGTTGCTCAGTGCTTCTTAAAATATCTTAAAGAAGGAACACTTTCTCCCTTAGTCCATGATATGTAAATTACTAAACTGAAACATAAAAAAGTGAAAAAATGATACACAAGCACTATTTACTTTTTATTATTAAGTGTAATAATAGTGAATAGTAATGAAATTGCCATAGAATTTTCTTGCACATTTGCAATTGTCTTACTTATCTTATGACCCCAGTCTGTGGACCACACCAAGTGGAACAGATAGATGTTGGTTGTGATAGAGCAAGGAAAAGAACTCAGTCAAATACAGATCTCCGAAAGGATTTATTAATTGAATTTATCTTCCACTCTTATCCTTTTTTATTTCCTCCAATCCTTTGTTATTACATGGAAAATCTCTCAGGGAAAGAATTTTACTGCTCTCAGGTCTGATATTTTCTTCATTTGCTTATGAGGACTCATTTTGAGGGAGTATAAGGAAAAGGGTAGCATTAGGAAAAAATGCTAGAAGGAATTTTTCAGTCTTTTCTTATCTGAAAACTCCCTTACGCACTGCTATTTTCACCTATGTCCTTGAATTGCCTTTTCTTGTGATTGCAAGAAGGCAGAGTTGGCTTTGCCTCTTTTTCTCTTCTAGCATATTGCCCTGTTCTCCCCAAATTACTAAACACTCCTTATACATTTTTGCTGTCGAACATTTAATTGAATCTCCAAAAATATTTTCACTATCATATATATATATATATATATATTATGATATAGAAGAAGCCCTTGAATCTCAGTAAAGATTAAAATCCTCCAGCCCATTTAATGCACTTTTCAGATTTATCCGATTAAGCTAGGCTTTAAGACATAAAAATGTAGGAATCTCTTCTTCCAGTGGCACATACTATGTTATTAATAGTGCTGCCCAGAACTTCTTCAACTTTTGAGAACTTGGGAATATCAACTCTACTTTCCAGTCATCGTTTTTTGCAGCTTCCACTTCAAATACAATTGTTAGGGTGAAAACTAATGTGTATTTTCAGGAGTAGGTGGCTTTGAACAAAGCTGTGATGCAGACAATGTGTGCTTGGCATCTTTCCATTTTTGTAAGTGCAAACCATCCTTTTTCAAGTGGTAAACTTGGTTCTGGCAATCAGCTGGAAATAAAACCAAATCTTAACAGTGGTGTACTAACAGAAATCAGATTTCCACATTTTCTGGCTGAATTACAGTAACTACTCAAGTAATTCACACAGTAAACTCTATATGTCATTTAAGCTTCATACAATTACAAAACAAATGGTTTTGCACTGCTGAACCTCTTCTCTATAAACACTTTCTTACCTACCAATTTCTGTACAAAATAGTTACAGCTCTCTTTTTTCAGCAGTGTGGTAGAGACTCCTTTCCATGTAGAATCTTCTTCCTACATCACTTTAACTCTAGTCCTTCACTATAACACATTCCAATCACAGGCTTGTTTCTATGATGTAGATTTGAGATAGAGATATTGTTTTTGGGACCAATAACTCATCAAGGACAGAGGTGGCAGCAGTGGGAAGAGGAAAAGTTACAGCTTTCATGCAGACCCAATACCCAACTTGCTTAACCCTGTAGTGACCTTGGTGCAAAATGACCCTTCAAAATGGTTCCAAGTGAAGCCAAAATGGCTGATTGTATTTATACATCTTTGTTTCATAAGCCACTAGATGAGGAATCCCCTGGAAAGAGTGAGACTTTGGGTGATAGGACTTGGTACTTCAGATATTTCCCAAGGGAATTGCCAGCTGGAATCTATCTGGTGACAATCCTTTTCCTGAGTGAAACTTTACATGATATATCTTCATGTTCATCACACCTTCATTTCCCATTTAATTCCCATTTTGTGTTTGACTGTTGTCTTTTCTATTTGGTTCGGTTTGGTTTGGGGTATCAAGGATGGAATCCAGGGCTTTATATATACTAACCCAGTGCTCTACCATTAAGATATAGTTCCAGCTCCTTGTTAGTAATTTTTAAAAATCAATGTTCATTGACATTTCACTTATTTCCTTTTTGTATAGATATTTATAACTTTAGCAGCTCTCTCAGTGCCTCTCTCTGTATATCTCTTTCACACACATAAATACACACACTCTCTCATACAAATATACACCCATGTGTCTTTTCAATTGATTCTCAGGGACCTTAAGTCCTGAAGTTAGGAAATTCTTTTGTTCACTTTATGTCCAGTGATTGCTTGATATCTGTCTTTTATGTAGGAAAATGATAAATGATTTTTACACATCATCCTTTATCTTTTTCACAGCAACATTTGCATCCAAGTAGCAATAATACCAATGAGCCTGAAGTTGATAAGCTGAATTAGTGACATAATGATGCTCAAAGTGCTTGAATTAAATACTTTGTTGTCTTTAAACATTATGTACATAGAAGGTAACCTGGAAAGCATTTCACAAATGAATCCCATCCATCACTGGAGATTTCCCTGACCACTGAAAATGCATCGCAACTGCTGTGCCGGTAGCCACTGATTCCAACCCTGGCACAAGACAGTTGTGCATAGAGATTATGCATTTCATACATGATAGGTTATTATGTGCAAAAGTGTATACATTATGTAATTATTTGACTTATTTTTTCACCAAGTAACTGTCTAAATGATCAGGTTATCAAGAGATCACAACAAACGCATGCAAAAATTCATATATTCAAATTGTTACTGTTTTCCAAAGTCATCCGAACTCTTTTTCAAGTATTTTAAAACTCAGATTTAATATTGTGTCCTGAAATTTGCATTGAATCTTTCACAAGAATATGAGTAGAACTCACAGTGTTAATACATGTATTTCCCCCAAGGTACTTGTTAATTTCTACATGAATGAAAAAGCAAAATACCATATTTAGGCTGGACATAAATATTCATCATTTGATCAAATTTTGATAGCATATAACCTTATACTTCTCAAACAGAGAAGTCCCTGGTGCTAAAGACTGATCAAATTTACTTAAATATACTGCCTTCATAAATCTCAGAAGGGACCTAAACTATATATTTAAAGTAGCATAGTAAAAAACTTCAGTAGAATATGTAGACAATATGTTCCATAATGAAATGTCCTTGAATTCTTGAAATTTATAAACATGCTTTAAATGAAGTTGAGCTTCAGATTATTTAGAGAAATGAAACTTTGAAATAACAATAAACTGTTCAAAAGTATTTGCACTTACCTAAAGCCTAGGAGAGAATCAAATGTACAGAAACCATTTAGTGAATATAAAATCAAGGCCACAGAGCTATCATTCTTAGTGAGAAATAGTTCTTTAATTTGTTGCTGATTTTAAAACAATTTAAACATTTGTTCTTTCCCTTTCTCAGTTCAGTCAAGAAACATAACTTGTATTATTTTGTTATAGTAGAAAACTAGATTTTATTTTACTATGTTGTAGATTTGTTGTAATCATATTTTTTGTGTAGAAAAAGAAGCCGAATCCTAAAAAAAGGTTTGGTAGCTTGCACATTTCACACAATTTACAAAGGAAAACTTTGAAGTACATTTTTTAAAAAGGCCTTTTCTCATTTACTGTGTTATTTCTCTTATTCAAAAAGAAAATCAGATTGAGTTTCAATTATTGGCTATCTTCTATGGCCTCACCATTGTAAATTAGAAAGGTGAGACAAAAAGCATTAAATTTATAATTAAATATGGCAGAATCTAGGAGTAATAAGTGGTACAGGCCAGCAACTGTCAAAATAGATTTCTAACCATTTAGAATTGATGTAGCCCTGGTAAAAAATCTATTCTTTCTCCATAGTAACTGGACTGAAGTTCTCACATGTTTTTACTAAAGAAAGAAGACATTCACATTGAAGTTTACAGAGATTTTGTTCAGGGAATGTGTTTTCTTATGCACAATTTGTTTATATATTCATATATAGGTCAAAAATGTAATGAAAAATATCATGGCTGGATTGCAACAAACCAACAGTGAAAAGATACTTCTGAGCTGGGTCCGACAATCAACGCGTAATTATCCACAGGTTAATGTCATCAATTTTACCACCAGCTGGTCTGATGGCCTGGCTTTGAATGCTCTCATCCATAGTCATAGGTAAGGATATTACTGATAATTTAAATTCCTTTTATAAGTATTGATTTAGAATATAAGATGTATCTTTTCCCAGTGTGGTTTCAGATTATTCTCTACTATGCCATCTGCTACCTGTGTTAATCATATTTAACTATTCATTAGACTGGAAAGATTAAAAGTATTTTTCTAGATTTATTTTTCTTTGCCAGTCCTGGGGCTTGAACTCAAGGCCTAGGTGCTGTCCCTGAACCTGTTTGTTCTCAGGGTTAGCACTCTATCACTTGAGCCACAGCTCCACTTTGGGCTTTTTCTGAGTAGTTTACTGGAGTCAAGAGTCTCACAGACTTTTCTGCCCCAGATGGCTTCAAACCATGACCCTCAGATCTCAGCCTCCTGAGTAGGTAGGCATTGGCACCCAGCATTTTTCTACATTTTTTTTATTTAAGACACATTCTTATTATGTATCACATGCCAGGCTCAGAGTGGCTATCATTCTGCCTCAGCTTGTGATTGCCAAAATTACAAACACATGCCAACACAACTGACTTTTGTCTACTTTTTTATGTAATTGTTAAAATATTAAAAGCTGGGTGCTAGTGGCTCAGTGCTACTCAAGAATCAGAGATAAGAGGATGGCAGCTCCAATCCAGCCAGAGCAGGAAAGCCCATGGGACTCTTATCTCGAATTAACACCAAAAAGCCAAAAGTGGAGCCTGTGCATTGAGTGGTAGAGTTCTAGTCTTGATTTAAAAAAAAGAAAAAGAAAAAATGCTCAGGGACAGCACTTAGGCCCTGAGTTCAAGTCCCAGGTCTGGCAGCAAATAACCACAACAAAAAAGTAAAGTTATAAGGGCATGACTTTGACTACCTTTGAATCAGAAGATGACCATATATGAAACCGAAACTCCCAGAACTTTTAGGGTTTTTTTTCTAAGTTACCAACAATGGGCTTAATCTTTCTGTACAAATCTTATATTGGCATGAACCTAACCTATTTAACTAAAAATGTTTCCAAAATTTCACAAAAGCAATTGTACTAAAAGTAATTACCATTATCAGATAAATTACATAGAAAGAAAAAAATTCTCTCATTAAATGCAACTTAGATATTAAACACTGTAAGTCCTGTATATTTTCTTCTAGTTGAAGGTTTAAGGAGACTGGGAGCATCATAACACCCAAGGCAAAGAACATCTATTCTCTCACTTACTGATCAGATTATCAAAAGAAACAATTTCCCTGGACAAGTGGAACAACTGCTATAAAGCAAGGGATAGTTCTGTGGATTTTCATAAAAAGAGCACTATAACATAGTGAATCAAATGTCCTTGACTATATTCCATGGAGTATTTTATTTCCTAAGGTGATAAAATAGCTGTTTTCTTTTATTGTACACTAAAGTCAACAAATGAATTAATATAAGCTCAAGAAAAGCAAAACCATGTAGAAAATATTTTATTTATATTTATGTAACATATAGTTTATAAAGTATTAATATGTATATGTACAATCTCTACAGTACCATACCAAATGTGCTATCAATAACATATATAAGCTCTAGGAAATATCCACTTTTGGTATGTGTGTTTGTGTGGGCACACACGTGCAAGTACCAGGGTTTGAACTCAGGGCTTTAAGCTCTCTCGATCTGCTCCTTGCTCATGGCTGGCACTCTATTGCTTGAGTTTGGTATTTTACTGGTTGATTGGAGATGGAATCTAACAGACTTTTATACCTGTGCTGGCTTTGAGCCATGATCCTGCAGCTCTAAGCCTCCTGAGTATCTAGGATTACAGGCATGAACAAGCAGCACCTTGTTACTTAGGTCTTATTATTTCCTATATCATTTACCAAACACAGGATCAAATGCATTGCCTAATTAACTGTGCTTAAAATGCGAATGCACTGATTCTTAATGCAGGTTATCCTTTCTTGTTCTAATTTTTCATTTTGTTTGACAAGTCTACCATTTTTCCTGTGCCACTCTTGCTTCTAGAAAGGCTCAGAATATAAATTTTCTTCATGGTAAAGCTCAACCCAAGGGCAAACACACTCTAAATAAGCATCTTTGGTAGGTGTCATGCTCCAGCTGGGTTTAATTAACCCCATCTAGACTGGGTTTCCAGGTGAATGACTCAGCAACCTGATTTTAGAAAGGAGGCAGACTGACACCCAATCAGCATGTTAAACAACGTTAACACATTGTTTTTCTTAGCACAATGGAAGAAAAAAATTCCATTGCTTCAATATAGTCAGGTGAGGAAGGATAGAGATATTCATTCTGCATCATAAATCAGTGCTCATTTATGCAGCCACATGCTTCACGTGAAGGGCCTGAAAAAATATTGATCTTGTTCTTCATGTACACATTCTCAGATGAACAAAAATATTGAGGATCAGGTTATGTGGTCCTTGTAGGCACTTTAACATTTTCTCTTCAAGTGGAAGACTTCCATTCTGTGAGCATGTTCACACACCACATTTGTTAATATTCTGCTTTATGATTTCTGAATAAATTTGTAGGTAAGACAGTAAACATATTCAGATTGCTCTGTCACTGACCTAGTCTTCCTCTGTCAAAAAAATCCTCATTTATATATTGTCCCCTAATATATTGAATGAATCATCAGTCACTATGTCTTTATACACATTACATGGTTACTTGTTAAAGGTTTCTCACAGTTATTTAGTGTTTTCTCATGAATCATCTACCTCATTGCCTTTAACAGACATTCTTGTTGTTTATCTAAAGAAAGGAAAATGGTTCAACTTTCTGTTTCAAGGTGATTGTCATTGGTATATTTGGAATGTCATGAGGTGTCCTGATTTCAATAATTGAGTGACTAAGCTATATAGAACAAAGGCATGTTCTTAATATAGAGCAGAGAGATTGACAAAGGACCTTGGAAATTAAGTATTTTGTGCTAAAACACAGTGTACTACAGTGGAATTGAAAGGAATTGAGATTTCATTCTTATGGTTAAACTTATTGATAATTGATTCGAAATATATCCGAAGTTTGCAGGCAAAGTTGCAATAACTTATAATTAATTTATTTCCTTATATTGGGACTACAGTGCCTGGTTTGAAAAATCAGATTTTAGAACTTGAAGAAAAAAAATGAAACAAACATGTCTTTGTGACCCAAACTCTACCTCATCACAGTCCAATACTAAGATGCAGTCACTGACAGCTAGCTCTACTTTTTTTCCTGATGGTTATCATAATAATATGTCATATATTGAATAACTTTGTTCCTTGGTAAATTGATTTCTGACAGTGTATGTCTTTATTGCTCCTCAATAGAAAGCCTACAGAAATAATCTCATCCCTGTCTAGTTCCTAGTTTTATTGGTTACATAATAATCATGTTATTCTTCTTATTTATCCTGGAAACTAAAACACAGGATATGAAAGTGCCAGTCCTTGAAGATAAGGTTTGGGCACTGTTTCTGACCTTTTTTGCTCTAAGCTAGCACTCTACCACTTGGACCACAGCTATACTTCCAAATTTCTGTGCTTAATTGGAGATAAGAGTCTGACAGACTTTTCTGCCTGGGACTGGCTTCAAACAATGATCCTCAGATTTCAATCACCGGAGTAGCTAGGATTACAAGTGTGAAACACAACACCTGGCTAAAAGTACCTCCAAAAAGACAACTTTCTGCCATGTGTAGAAAGGAATCACTGACTATCTGATATTAATTATGCAGAAGTCCTTATACTTATCCTTTTTCCAATACAAATTTGTAATATGAATATTCTTTTACTTAAAATAGTTTTAAACAAGGAGAGATGTGGCCCAAGTGGCAGAGCATGAGCCTTAAATAAAAAGCCAAATGAGAACTTCAAGCCCTGTATTAAAGCCCTGTTATGAGCACACAAACAAACAAAAAATAGCATTTATATCTGCTCTATAAAGATACTTGTTCCTAGTTTGAATAGTTATTAAAAAGAATTATTGTTGTTTTTCATATATATATATACAGTTAATAGAAAAAAGAAAAGCCAATGTTTGAAAATAATTATTGTTTTTTAGTCAATGTTCTAAACAAAATTCTTATTTCTCAGGACAAATGCTACAATTGCCCCAGTTAACAAGTTAGGATGCTAAGACCTAGAGAGGATATATGATTTACCTAGCATTATTTGACTAATATGTGGAAGCTTTGGGACTTAAATTTATACTTTCAGCCAGGCGCTGGTGGCTCACGCCTGTAATCCTAGCTACTGAGGAGGCTGAGATCTGAGGATCTCAGTTCAAAGCCAGTCTGGGCAGGAAAAGTCTGTGAGACTCTTATGTCCAATTAACCATCAGAAAACTGAAAGTGGTGCTGTGGCTCAAATGGTAGAGCGCTAGCCTTGAGCTGAAGAGCTGAGGGACAGCGCCCAGGCCCAGAGTTCAAGCCCCAATACCAACTAACTAACTAACTAACTAACTAAATAAATAAAATTTACACTTTCAAAAAGTAAATAAATTTACACTGTCTCTGTAATGATGTTGTCTTCCTTAAAACTTGGTGACCTTTGGTTTAATTATGAATTATGGTCTATTTTACTATTCAAAGCTATCTGGCTTTCCTCTACAGCTGATTAGTTTTATTGTTTTTGTGCATTTAAAAACCATGATATATACCACAAAAATAAGAAGAGTAAGGGAGGTGGTGAGTGGAAGAGGGGGTGAGAAGGGAGAAGGGAATGACACTGATCAAAATGCATTATATTCATAAACTGCTTTGTGAAATGTCACCTCCTTTGTACAACTACTTAAACATTAATACAAATCATAAATAGTTAAAAGACCAGTTAATTGCTTTTAAATTGTTAAATGTTTACTCATCATGGTAATATGCAAGTTTCTTCCCTATTAGATTTTAAATATTTGTAGGATAATAACTGCCTCACAAACTACCTATATTTTTTCTACCTGTATGTTCTCATGGTGGGGAGACATAGAAATAGTTAAGAATAGAATAATTCTTTCCCATTTCCTGCCCGGGGAACCAAAAAATGTTTCTCTCTGTTTTCCATTTTTCCCTACTTTAACCACATTATACCAAAATAAATCCTTACAAAAACTTTAAAAATAAGATTAAATTATAAAATATAGTAGACAGGAATAATGCAAAGTATAAATATGAGCAGGACAGATTGCATGCATAAATGTAACCACCACATTCCATAATTAATATACAGTATTACAAAGGGCATAATGGCACTGAGAGTAGTGAGAAGTGGTTAGATTCTGGTTATATTTTCAGTTAAATACTGTGTGACAATGAAAGTCATCAAAGATGATTATTAAATTTTTCTGAGTAACTGTAAATTAGAACTTTGTGATTATTAAGGAAGAACAATATAATAAATGGGTTTTGAGGAATAAAATGGAGATGAATAGCAAATAAAAACCAGTTGGGGACACTTGATGCTTATGATCAAGTAGAAATACTGAATAAGCAGTTGAACCAAGTCTAGAGTTCAGGGAAGAGATTTGGTATTGATGTATAAAATTAGCAGTTACCTATAAGTGACAACTATTCAAATCTGTAAGGCTGAATAAAATTAAAACATTTTTCTTATTGGATAAACTATAGTTGATTATTTTCTTTAGGATGTTCTTCATTTCCTAGTTTCATTGAGCACAGAATATTTTATCTTCTTAAGTTCTATAATGTCAGGATTCTCAAAATTTTGACTTTTTAGAACTTCAGATGTTATTGAAAGTTGGGGGCTGGTGACTCATGACTGAAATCCTTATTACTTAGGAATCTGAGATCTGAGGATCATGGTTTAAAGCCAGCCTGGGCAGAAAAATCCATGAGAATCTTTATTTCCCATTAACCACCAACCATGTCCCCGCCCACCCACCCCCAAAAAATGGAGCTGTAGCTGAAGTGGTATAGTGCTAGCCTCAAGCCCCCAAAGCTCAGAGATAGTGCTCTGACCTTGAGTTCAAGCCCCAGGACTGGCACAAAAAAGAAAAAAAATGTTGAGAGATAGTGAAAAATAAGGATGATGGATGTGAGCTATCCATTTGAACACCAATTGAACGAATTCTCACGGAATATTCTAGATGGATTTATATTTATATTTATTTGTGTATGTATGTGTTTCAGGCCAGACCTGTTTGATTGGAATAGTGTGGTTTCCCAGAAATCAGCCACACAAAGACTGGAACATGCATTCAACATTGCCAAATGTCAGCTAGGCATAGAGAAACTGCTGGATCCTGAAGGTTGGTGCATATCTGGTCTACCATTATTTTTAGTTTACTTTAATGTTTTTTCTCACACCTGACTGTTCCATCTCCTAAGCAAAGTATAGAAGACAGTGAATCGTATGTTTTTCTATATTCTAGATATATTTAAAATGCTCTATCTTTTTATACTATATTATCAAGTTCTCATTTTGCTTTAGCTTTTACACTGCTAATAACTAAAACTAATGTATAAAATTGTGGGAAAACTAAGGAAAATCAAAGAAATCTTTAGAATGTATATGTCTCATGGCTGGAGCAAAATACTTTGACTCTAAATAATTATAAAAAAGTAATGTTTTGCTAATTCTGTCAAGAGATTTGATAGAGTAATCAACTATAATTAATTAGCTACTCAAGCCAATTTCATTCATATTCTCTACAAAAGTAAACATGGTTTACTATTCAAATCAGGAAATTGGTTTCTGATGCTTCTTCTGGTATAATTTGTCACTCTGAGGATGCCCCCTATTTGATGACCATTCATTTTCTGTTTCTTTTGTTGACAGGAAGCCCTGTATATTTTCATTCATCAAAGACTTAATGTCTTTCATCCTTATCTCTGGCACTACATAGCCCTATCTTCTAGACACATGGATTGGAACATAGGGACATACTATTCTTTTTTTTCTTATAGGCTTTGAGATACATTATTGAAGTACTAGCTTTTTGCAACTTCAGTCTGTTCTTACCTAGTTTTGAATTTACTACATTCTCAAACTAGAAACTTGAGAAGCAATCAGTGGGAATAATAGCAATATAATAGAAGCTAATGTTTGGGAAGAAGCTCTGAAATACATGACACTCATAATGAAATAATCTTTGCAATACTTAGTACCGAAGCAGAGCATTCTTAATCAGTGATGGTGAGTTTCGTTATTGAAAAGTCAAAACATTGTCAACCTGGATCATTGCTACCAGCAAATGAAAAATCCAGGAAAGATTCAAACTTGCTGAAAGTGATAGAAAACTTTTTATTAGGAATTTTGACAATGAAATCATGTCATCTCTAGGTAAGAATGACAATGATTTTCAACCCAGTCTAGGTTTTTATTGAAATGTAAGGATCGAAGAGGATGAAGTCCCTTGAACTAATTCAAAGGGTGATTTACTGTCCTATGTTTGGGGAAAAACTACTGAGAAGTTCATGGAAATACCTTTGCCCTCTAGAGCATGGTTTTCTGGTGTAGGTAGCTGAGTTAAAGCACTTCCTTAAGCTGGAATGAAGCCCATCAATAATCCTTAAGTGAATAGAGTATTTTAAAAATATGTTGCCAGGCACTGGTGGCTCATATCTGTAATCCTAGCTATTCAGGAGGCTGCAATCCGAGGATTACAGTTTGTAGCTATCCAGGGCAGAAAAGTCCCTATGAGACTCTAATCTCCAGTTAACCACCAGAAAACCAGAAGTAGAGCTGTGGCTTAAATTGGGAGAGTGCTTGCCTTGAGCAAAAATGCTCAAGGACAGCACTCAGGCCTTGAGTTCAAGCCTTATAACTGCTCTTTAAGTCTAAAACCAAACCAAAACAAACAAACAAAAAAAATCAACAGCCGTATGTTGATATTCCAGGACCTCAGTGGACCAATAGGCTAACTGAAATGCATGTTTACACTGTCCTACCTTTGAGACCTTGTAATTTCATCCTCTATGTTATGGGGAGTTAAACATAAAAAGGTGGAAAGGATACTATAGAAATCAAAATACAAATTCATATATTTTCAATTAGCTATTACATAAAAAGTAAGAAAACTCATATCTCCATTGACTTATATGCAGGTGATCCTCAAAGTATGCTAGTTCTATTTACAAATTTTCAACTTCACAATGGTAAAACATGATTTGAATTTTGATCTTTCCTTGGGCTAATGGTATTCAGTAAGATCCTCTCTTAGGCTGTGAGGCATGGTTCCAAGTCAGCCACATGCTCTCAAGGACAAACAGCTGACATTGTACAGTGTACTGTAAAATCAGTAAACTGCCTGCCAGTTGGTTTAGGTATAGCAAATGCATTAGCTTTGCTGTAGTGAGAATTAAACCTATAGCTTCATGCATGTTAGGGAAATACTTTTTCCACTGATTTCCACTGCCCCCTACTTCACCCTACTCACACAGGCATTGGTTTTTATTTTTTAATTTTTTATTGTTATTGTAGAGTTGATATAGAGAGGGGTTACAGTTATTTGAATCAGCTAATGAGTACAATTTTTGGAACCATGCCTCCCCTTTCCTTGCTCTCTCTCAGTTTTTACCTCCTGTCCCTCTTCCCTCCCTTCCCCCCCGCAAGATAAACAGTTCATTTTCCACAGTGTCTAGTGAGTACCACTGTTACATTTCTTCACCCTTTGTTCTACCTCTTTGGTGCCCCCCCTTACTCTCACAAATACAAACTAACAAAATAAGACAAAAGGAAAAGAAAACAAAAACAACAAAAATTGCAATTAAAGTATCTCTTGTTTCTTTTTCTTGGAGCTCATTTAAGAAAATATTATTTTATATGATCATATGCACATAGCTATTGAGCCTTTGTCAACCACTCCTGTGCATATCCTCCTTTGGCCTCAGTGAATGTACAGAGTCCTATATAATTCATGTCACAATGTGTGTATGTGTGTGTGTTTGTGTATGTGTGTGTGTGTGTGTTAATCATTCAGTGTGTTTACTTGTAGATTATTGGCACATTCTAGTTACCGCAAATGAGGGAAACCATGCAACCTATGTTTCTTTGGCTCTGGCTTTCTTTGTTTAATATAATTTATTCCAAGTCTTTCCATTACGTTATTAATGGTACATCATTCCTTATGATGAATGCATCAAATCCCATTGTGCATATATGCCACCCTTTATAGATATATTCTAGTTATTACAAATGAGGGAACCATGCAGCCTATGTTTCCTTGGCTCTGGCTTACTTCACTTAATTTATATTTTCTGTCTTTCTATTTCCTTACAAATTGTATCATTTTTTCTGATGAATGAGTAGTATTGTGTATATATACCACATTTTCTTGCTCCATTCACCCTCAGAGGGGCATCTGGGTTGATTTCCTATCTTGGCTATGGTAAACAATGCTGCCATGAACATGTTTGTGCTGGTAGCTTTAGTCTGGTATTCTTTGTGTTCTATTTGATAAATACCCAGGAATGAGATTGCTGGATCTTAGGTAGCTATATGTTTACTATATATGGGTAGTATATAAGTTTAGTCTTTTAAGGAACTTCCATGCTACTTACATTTTGATACCATGATGAATATATTAATAGGCAACCTCATTTTAAATTGAGGAGCATTTCTTTTTGCTTTTGATGAATATACTTGGGAAACCAAATTATAATGACATCGTGAGTTGGCGTGAGTGATTAAGTAGAAATGTTTCTTCTCTTTTGGATAATGCATCGCTAAATATTGACTCCTGTGAATCATATTTTTATATATTCTTATATGTTTTTATATATTCTGTAGGTCATTTTGTCCAAGTTTTTGGCTCTGTGGGAATTAGTTGTGTGGACTATTTTTCAGTACAGGGATGTTTTGCCTCAATATTGACCCCTACTACTTCTTCATGAGTATTCTTCTATTCCAGTAATTAAGAAGGCAGGCATAATCCGTTATACATTCTGAAACAAAGGATAAAAATTATAGGTTATACATTTGAAGGATTAACTTATTAATGATTTTGTTTTTCATAAATCATCATATAGTAGTCAGTTCCTTATCCTCTTTTAAAATATTAAGAGTATAGTTAAAATAGACTGTGTTTTGTCTGACGGTGTTACTAAATGGTGGAGCACTTGCTGGTACTGGGTTCAATAACCAGGACTGAAAATGTAGTTAGTATGGTGATGATGATGATGATGATGATGATTGATAATCATTAAAATGGATCTTTTTCTTATTAAATGATAAAATGTCTTTCACATCTTTGTCATCAATTGAACCTATAGAATATGTTCTGTGGAATAGAAATACCTATATAAGGTATTTACATCATAATTAGGAATATATTGGTGAATTTATAATAGGAATAGCTCTATGAATAATACAGCTTATGAAATAAAGAGCCTGCTATACCTAACATGACATACTTTCCTATGTGGAAAATGTATGTTATAATATATACTGTATAGCCTTTAGGACAGATATTCTAATATATCCAACTTGAACAATTCAAAGTCAATCAAATATAATACAAAGTATATTAATAGTTCTCCAACCACTGGTTGTATTTTCATTTGGCCAATAAAATCTTAGATATAAAAGCATTTTCTATGATAGAGTCACTTATTTAATATTTGCAAGTACTAGTGTCAAAACTGAGAGCATCATGCTTGCTAGGCAAGTGCTCTACCACTTGAGCAACACCTGCAGCCTATTTTTTCACATTTTGTAGGGTCTTATGCTTCTGCCTGGGCCAGCCTCAGACCATGAATTTTTTGTTCTTGCTTCCAGCAGAGATATGGTAACAGATGTGAAACAGCACAACTGGCTTGTCCTTTGATATAGGATTTCACTAAGTTTTTGCCAGGGCTTGCAATTCTCCTGTGTCTCTGCCTTGCAATTAGCCAATTGCAATGTCAATTATTATTGAAAAAATTGAAAGAAAAAATAAGAATTTTTGTTTACTGATCTTTTTATTCACAATAGAATGAATACCTTCTCTTAGAATCACTGACATATAGTACTCTTCAATAGATCCAGCAGGAGAGATTAATGTCGTTCTTTTATGCTTTGTGTAATAATTGCCTTTGAGATGTTCATGTTTTTATTTAAGCAAACATTCATTTTTTAGCTTATGCACAACAGTATCAACTATTCTCCAAGGCAATTTTCATTTAGTATCTGTTATACCCTTAGGAAGTTAATGAAACATTTTGCTTTATGTTTGATTGATTTATATTATTGTGGGACTGAAGCTAATACCAGCAAATATTTTTTAAGAATTTTATCTTATGCTTCTTTGATTGGGTTTATTTATATATT